GAATAGACCTATAAAAGTGTAATGTCTCCCTCTAGTGGGAATAGACCTATAAAAGTTAAATGTCTCTCTCTAGTGGGAATAGACCTATAAAAGTTTAATGTCTCCCTCTAGTGGGAATAGACCTATAAAACTTGAATGTCTCCCTCTAGTGGGAATAGACCTATAAAAGTTTAATGTCTCCCTCTAGTGGGAATAGACCTATGAAAGATTAATATCTCCCTCTAGTGGGAATAGACCTATGAAAGATTAATATCTCCCTCTAGTGGGAATAGACCTATGAAAGATTAATATCTCTCTCTAGTGGGAATAGACCTATAAAAGTTTAATGTCTCCCTCTAGTGGGAATAGACCTATAAAAGTTTAATGTCTCCCTCTAGAGGGAATAGACCTATAAAAGTTGAATGTCTCCCTCTAGTGGGAATAGACCTATAAAAGTTGAATGTATCCCTCTAGTGGGAATAGACCTATAAAAGATTAATATCTCCCTCTAGTGGGAATAGACCTATAAAGGTTTAATATCTCCCTCTAGTGGGAATAGACCTATAAAAGTTTAATGTCTCCCTCTAGTGGGAATAGACCTATAAAAGTTTGTCTCCCTCTAGTGGGAATAGACCTATGAAAGATTAATAACTCCCTCTAGTGGGAATAGACCTATGAAAGATTAATATCTCCCTCTTGTGGGAATAGACCTACGAAAGATTAATATCTCCCTCTAGTGGGAATAGACCTATAAAAGTTTAATGTCTCCCTCTAGTGGGAATAGACCTATAAAAGTTGAATGTCTCGCTCTAGTGGGAATAGACCTATAAAAGTGTAATGTCTCCCTCTAGTGGGAATAGACCTATAAAAGTTAAATGTCTCCCTCTAGTAGGAATAGACCTATAAAACTTGAATGTCTCCCTCTAGTGGGAATAGACCTATAAAAGTTGAATGTCTCCCTCTAGTGGGAATAGACCTATAAAAGTTGAATGTATCCCTCTAGTGGGAATAGACCTATAAAAGATTAATATCTCCCTCTAGTGGGAATAGACCTATAAAAGTTTAATATCTCCCTCTAGTGGGAATAGACCTATAAAAGATTAATATCTCCCTCTAGTGGGAATATACCTTGCAGATTTTATAATACAGACAATGTGGATGTTTAAAAAAAATTAAAGTATCAGATAATCCCAGTTTTAACTTCATATCAAACAGGTCACTCCATAGTTGTCCATTCTTATGGCAGCGAAAACCACACAGAATGTCCATTACTAACCTTCTGTGAACAAAATGGATACCTACTGCAGTCTTAGCGAAGCCAATAGCATACACACATTCAGTGCTCTAGAAATGCAGTTCATTGTCGATGGAAGCAGAGGTTACAGATCAGTAGTTGCACATGCAGTTGATGACATAAGACACCACCACTTTTCTGGCAACAGGCCACTTGCTATTTTCTGAAAATAGAGTTCACAACACAAACTATGTTTGGCATAGTCGAAATACATCCCAAATAAAATCCCTACCTCACAGTGTCGTGTCATGCACTAAGCTAAGCTGGGCGATGGAACTTTATGTTTTTGGTCTACACATGGAAGAAAATGCAACAACTAACTATTGTCAGAAGCAAAAACTTGCCACGACTAAAAAGTTAACATGCCTATTCATCATATTGACCAGAAGCATTGTTATGGGGATTAGAAATAAAAAAGATTTGACTGCTAGGTATATAAATATTGCATGATGAGACCTCATGTCTTCTACAGTGCAACTCTCCTACCACTGTCGGAAAGCCACTAGAACAATCAAATGAGAAAACCTGCCTTCATAAGAACATTGATAATATGTGTGATTTTAGTATACCCACACTTGGACACTTGCCGGTGCAACCAAGTTTAGCCTTGTGCTGGGAGTCTCCTGGTGAGAACTTTGGTAGAAAACTGGAGCATTCACTGAGGTTTCTTTAGGCAGTGAAAGCAGAGTAGCCCACTCAAAGTTAAATAGGCCTTTCAGACAAATATTGTCCTTTTAGAGCTAATTAGCTCTTTTAGAGTTAGGTAGCCTTTTCAGAGTAAAGTAGTCCTTTCAGAGTAACATTTTCCTTTCAAAGTAAGCAGTCCTTTCAGAGTATGGTAACTCTTTCAGCGTGAAGTAGACTTTTCAGCATAAAATATACCTTTGAGGGTAAAGTAGGCCAAATTAGCTCCAGTATTTTAAACTAACTTGTTGTGGCCAGTATCACACAGGTCACCTTTATTTCACCAGAAATTTCCTGGTGCTTTTGTGTGCAGGATGGGTGTTGAACCACTGTGATTGGAACACAAGTGCAGAATGGGTGTTGAACCACTGTGATTGGAACACAAGTGCAGTATGGGAGTTGAACCACTGTGATTGGAACACAAGTGCAGAATGAGTGTTGAACCACATGTCATTTGAACACGTGTTAGATGGGTGTTAAACCACTGTGATTGGAACACAAGTGCAGGATGGGAGTTGAACCACTGTGATTGGAACACAAGTGCAGAATGAGTGTTGAACCACATGTCATTTGAACACAAGTGTTAGATGGGTGTTGAACCACTGTGATTGGAACACAAGTGCAGAATGAGTGTTAAACCACTTTGATTGGAACACAAGTGCAGGATGGGTGTTAAACCACAAGTTGTGCTGCAGCAGGATCAGGGTTCATGCTAGCTGAGACCTATCTGTACTCTCTACACTCATCCTGGAAACAGCATCCCTGCCATGGATCAGCATTTCTTTCAAAGTTGGAGTGCATCTGCCTGAGAGAATGAACGAAAAAATTTTATTTGTAAAGAGTCACAAATTGGGCATGCAGGCCTGTCTTACATTTGCCCCTTCCAAGCAGAGGTAACTAGCAGTCTGTACACAAATGAGCAAGGTTTTTAAATGGATGTGTATGCAAGACTTCTTCTCCTTAGCATTCACCGGCTGGAAACCTCGGGGGAAAGTTCTGATTGCCTGTCCAGTTTGGACTTATTCTTGTTCCAGAATTTAAGTTTTGCATGCGCATCCATTTTACAGATCTGGCTTATGTGTATGCAGACTGTTGGTTCTTTGCCTCTCAGGCAGATGCACTCTGTGTTTGAAAGAATGACTGCTAATGAATCGATTTTTGCAACGTGCTTGTTAGGGGTCAGTGGGTTTATCCTTCCCCCCCCCCTCCCAAAGAGAACCCCAGAACCCACACGGGGAATGCAGCACTCTAGTCCTGGAACAGGGCCAAAGTCCAGAAGTGGATGAACAACCAGAACCTTTATATTTACAGCTGGTGAATGAAAAGAAGAAGTGGAGGAGCAACAAATGGCCACTGGGCAGTCCGGCAGTTGAACTGGCCAGTGTGTTGCCATGGTTTCTATGATATGGATGATCCTTTACAAATCAAAGTTTCCCCATATAATAAACCAGAACTTATAACAGGCACCATAGCTCTATCACCAAGTACTCCGTCAGCGGGCTTGGACACTCGTGTTTTACCCCACGTCACCATCTGAACATAATTTATTAATTTTTGACACACACTGCATCTCACTTTTAGGCCAGAAGTATCAAACAGGAGATCACATATTTAAAAAAAAAATATATAATCTGCAACGACAACCAGATTTTTAGCAACCAAAAATAGTACAGTTATTTTGCCACGTCACAGCTGTGACTAACGCCTGTCAAGTTTGCTAATTAACCCAGAAGCAAGTAAGTTTTATAATTGTTGTCACTCCTACTTGAATCAGCTCATTGATTTTTCCTTCAGAATCAGGTAGTATTTTTCAAATTTATAATTAACAAGGCAAGATGTTTTAGCTCACTAAAAAAAAAATAGACAAAAATTACTGAATAAGAATGGATTTCAGTTGTTTCAATTGTCTTGTCTTGGTAATTGTGAATTGTTTAGTGTTTATTTTTTTGACAGTTATTGGGCTGCTATGTTCTAATTTAGTTAGAGCTGGGCCCAGGGTCAATAAGGGAGCACAGAATAGAAACACTAACTTGCCATGCATGTCATAAAATGTAACCAATGAGGGTTGGTGTGAGACTGGCTGCCTCTGCCATTAAGAAAACTAGCTGCAAAATCCGGCGATGAAGCCTACTAAGGGCTTTGGATGAGTTGATTGTGAGCTGAAGTATGCTCCATTCAGAGATGAAAGGCGGGGGGAAAAAAAGGAACCACATTCATTTGTTTAGTATCCTCTGTCTAGCTGTAGATAACAGTTGATTGCAGTGTCCCCTATCTTGACCTGGAAGATGGCACTGAAGCATGTTGATGGAGTCTGATATGATCCAAGTGTTCATGGTTGCTTGGCTAAGAATAAGCCTCGACTGGTCATGTTTTCTGCACTGATTTGAGGATATTTTATTGTCAGTAGGCTCCATCTTTGTGTACATGGGGAATAACATCAAACCAACCGTCTTTACTTCCCAGGACTTTACCTCGTACCCATTTAAGGCTGGGTCGACCTGGGATCCTAGATGATAAAAAAAAATCAGGCTCAGTCAGGAGCTGACCCCACGACCTTCAGATCCACAAGTGAGCATGTTGCCGCTACACCATGGCGGCTCCCATCCATGGGAAATAGGGCATTAAAAGAGATGGTGATTTTTTTTTTTTAGATGGAAGAGCACTTTCCAGACATGATAGAAGTACTCTCTAGACATGAGAGAATAGTAAAAGTTAAGGGTTTCCTGTTTACGCCAGTGACGCCTAGGGCATATGATGCTTGACTCAAGTTCCCAAGTGGTTACCCATCTAAGTACTACCACACCAAATGTTGCTTGACTTAGCAGGAGTGAATACAGAGGAGAAAATGGGCAGCCATGTGTAGGCGTGCTTTCAGAATATCTGTTTCAGTGACAAACTGGCCGATATAAAATTTTAAGTCTGTGGCGACCACACTAGATATGCTACCCTGAATCCTGATGCTCAAGATCTCTCTGCGTTCTACCACCCTAAAAACATAATTATCGGCCGTAAAGACAGTGAAAATGTTTTTTTTTTTTTTAAGTTTCAGCAATCTCTTCAGCTCTTCCAACAAACCTAAGAGGCCTCTTCCTATTGCCACTGTCAAGTACAATGCTCCCACGACCAATGTTCAGCCAGTTGGTGATCCAAATAAGAAGCAGAGAGACAAGAGTTCGAATCCCAAATCCAAGGCATACGATTTTTTGCAAGAAGATTTGTGAGTACCTAATGGATTTGTTTAGTGCTGATTATTGTTATTGCTAAGATTGTATAGTTCTTTCTTCTTAACGTTCACCCGATGTAAACTCCAGCAGAAAGTTGTGGTTGTTCATCTGCTTCTGGACTCTAGTTTTGTTATAGAACTTGACTTTTGTGTGCACACTTTGCGTGCACACACATTTTACGAATCTACTTATTTGTATGCAGACTGTTGATTCCTCACCTCTCAGGCAGATGTTCTCTGACCGGAGGAAGAACCTCTAATTAGTCATCTTTTACAACATGCTTGATAGGGGGGGGGAGGAGGTCTGTCCCCACCCCTAAACCCCCAATGGGGCCTTGAAGCTTACACAGGGACAGTTTTATAGTTGATGTACTAGGAGAAAATATTAGCCCCTGTGGCTTAGGCGTTGCAAGCATGCTTTATAATTCTGAAATACCCAGTTCATTTGCAACCTCAGGTGATTTTGGTCTTGCTGTGTGCTTATTTTGACAATGATATGGAGTGACAGCAGTTCAGAAAAGAATGGCAAACTACTGAACCTAAAATTGCCTAGTAAAAACAAACAGTCAAAGAATGCTGGGATTGGTTCTGCAACATCCTATAAAAGTATATGCGACTGACTAAGCTAAGAATAGAATAAACCTTTTAACTCACGACCCCTCTTTATTTGACAATTCAGGGATAGATTCAGACTTGATGAGATCTTGAGCTGTAAGAAGCTTTGAGGCCCCTACCGTGTTAATTACACCATATTTTACTCATAGCAGGCAACAACAACAAATGTGTAATAAAAGGTATATACCTTACCACTTGACTTGCAATTCCAACGTAATGCAATCGAATCCCACTACTGGCTGCGTGAATTTTTATCATGGTGCGGAGTGTTGCAGGTCGATCCATGCTAAAATAGGTACCAGGATGTATGTCCTGGGAAAGTAAAGACAGCCGGTGTAATGCTGACCACATTACCTACCTAGTGCCGATTAGTCTGTAAAATTATGGGTGCTCTTCCCATATGCCCGATACGCCTAAGACGCGAAAAGGGATCTTTACTTAACTTACTTTTTACCTTACCACTTACAGTGAGAGTGACTGAGATGACCTAGCTTAATAGCAGATAGAGCTTGACATATATCAAGCTGATTATTGTATTCAGTTTAAATAGGCTACAAGTTAGAATATAAGCTTAAAATAATATACCCAAAATAATAATAATTCAATTTATGGTGGGGGGAAAAAATTGAAATTAAAAAATAAAATTTTTTTAGCTGTAGCTTTTTTACTTATATCGAAAACTGGCAATGCTCACAGTCTCATATCCTTGTTATTTCTGAACCTGTGATTACTGAGGACTGTCTTCACGGCACGCCAGACAGATCCATAGCTTCTCTGATCTCCGTCTTAGTAACTCTACGGATGTAAACGACTGATGATGCCCATCATTTGTAGAGTAATCAGACAACCGTCCTTAGGGGGTAGAAGATGTCGAGGCCGGCCTCTGCTACGATATAAAGACCTGTGCAAGCGGGACATGATTATGTGGAGAAAGGCATGAGAGTGAAGGAAGAAATGACTGCAGAAAGGGTGAGAGCTGAGCGTCTGAGAAGAATCGGACTTAACACAAATGTTGACAGCAATGGTTCTGAAATCCCACGCTGTAATCTTGGAAGACTTTTCTTAACGCAGGCGGGTCTTGCTAGTCACACTCGCCATCGCCATGAGCTGTGAGTCCCATGCCTCCTCATAGCGCAATTTAACACTATCGTCTGGAAAGATGGAAAGGTGCCAGTTAGTATGCCCTTAGTAAAATGTTTATATGTGGTGGCGCCAGGTTGTACTTCCATATCTCCCAGCCTGGACAGAGATACTGTGTCCTACTTGTCATAATTACCTTTGCAATATGCACCCCAGATGGCATTAGTGAGATCACTCCTGTCCAGTGCTGGGCCAGAGTAACCACTTTGTCCAGCAGATAATCTGTACACTCATTGTCTCAAACACCCGCATGGCATGGCTCAAAGATCAAGTTTAGACGAGTTTCATGTTGTAAAGGTATTAGCTAAGTATAAACAAACTGTGTATAGTCACATATTGTTATAGTTACTGCTGACTGTTTCAGAACCTCAGAAAAAGCTAAAAAGGAAAGGGAGAGAGAGCGAAGAGAACAGTACAAGCAAGTGAGAGCTCATGTCAAGAAAGATGATGGGAGGATGCAAGCCTATGGCTGGAGTTTGCCTGCCAAGTTTACCTCCCATGCTCCGAAGGATACCTCAAGCAAATCACAAGTCCCCGTGCCAGTTCCGGTCTACTGCAGGCCTTTGTTCGACAATCAAATAGGATGGAAGGTGAGCAAATGTTTTATACTCTTGTTTCTATAAGGTGAGCAAATGCTAAACTCTTGTTTTTATCTTGTGTCGTTGCTTGACGGAATCATGGACACCAGAATTACACCAAGGTGTAAAAAAGATGGATGAAGGTTGTTTGTTTGTGTGTGTGTGTGTGTGTGTGTGCGTGCGTGCGTGCGTGCATGCATGAGCACGTACATATGTCTGTTAATGATTTTGGCTGTACACACCAGAATGAAGGGAGATTAAAGAGCTGACAGATTGGCTGTCTATACAGTGGCTGGTGGAGGAAGATTTATGGACAAGGCAGACATACTGAATGCACTGCGTTCTACAGACTGTGAGACAAAGGAGTCAGAGACAGTTTACTGCCTGTTGGAAATGGGTATTAAACTGGAACAAGAATACAGAAATAGGTTACGGGGAAAAGAAAGAAGACATGCCAATTAACTTCTACTGGGTGTATTCAGCATGAATTTTAAAATAAAGATTTACTCATTTCCCCCCTCTCCCCGCCCCCGCCCCCCCTTTTTTTACTCTTCAAATATGTCTGTTAAAAAGGTCCGGAATATGCCTCACAGACTCTATCACATGCACACTCTAGAGCTGTAGCTCCCAGCTGCTGGTTCATGGACCTCCCGCAGTGGGGTGGGGGGGGGGGGGGGGGGGGGGTCTGTTATTCTCAAATTAGTCCTGTTTCCCTGAGGGCAGTTGAAGCAGTTTGCCATTGGGCTTTCCACCCGTGGTCAGTTCAGTCTCCAGCTCCACTTGCCTCGCAAGACCCATGGTGTCCGCTGTTACCAGGGAATTTCAGGCAACACTTGTTTCACAAACTTTAAGGAGATCAGACATCCACACTCACTGTGTCAGCAGTATCATAAATATAAATGTACATTTTGGCACCCTCTCACCTCTGGCATACTTACATACTCAAGTGAGCTTGCACACAACAGCTTGTAACAAGATCAGCAGAAATAATTTTGTGAGACCATGATATCATTAACACACTTGTTACTTGTTGTCTGTTTTGACACTCCAGCGCATCAGTCTGACCCAGTTTGTGCTACCTCCTTCCATGCAGCAGCCATCTCGGTGTCTCCCTGATCAATGCACCCACTAGGAGTTAATTGGCAAATCCCCCCCCCCCCCCCCCCCAACCATTTTTCTGTTTGCTTGTTCCTGTTTAATAACCATTTCCAACAGGTGGTTCATGGTCTCTGACTCCTTTGTCTCACAGTCTCTGGAACGCAGTACATTCAGTATGTCTGCCTTGTTCATAAATCTTCCTCCATCAGCCGCTGCTACCAAGGCTAATCCGTCAGCTCCTTTATTTTCCTTCATCCTGGTGTGTACATTAACACACAGGGCGCATGCGCACAAACACAAAGAACGATCCGACTTCATCGAGCATTTGTTGACCGGCTAAACTTCCTTTACCCATTACCATTAATATAATAATTCATTAGAATCGAGCTGACCTGGGTATTTTTCTGTCGGTGGATATGGTGTGCAGCAGGTGTGAACTTGACCTGGATATTTTTCTGTCGGTGGTTATGGTGTGGGGCAGGTGTGAATTTGACCTGGGTATTTTTTCTGTTGGTAGATATGGTGTGCAGCAGTTGTGAATTTGACCTGGGTGTTTTTCTGTCAGTAGATATGGTGTGCAGCAGGTGTGAATTTGACTTGGGTGTTTTTCTGTTGGTAGATATGGTGTGCAGCAGGTGTGAATTTGACCGGAGGAAGGACCAGAGATGGGGGATCTATAGTGGGCGCTAGTGTGTTTTACTCAGACCCACCACCCGAGGAGAGGAAAGATGGAGAGATAAAGACAGAGGTGGACAAGTTGGACAAGGAGTTGAAGGTGAGCATGTTCAATTGATCATTGTATATACATTTTTAAACAAATAATAGGTTGATGTAGAAACGGTAGATGGGGAATGAATAGACCTAGACATGGAAACTACTTCTTCTTCCTCTTCTTCGTCTTCTTCTTCTTTCTCTTTTTCTTCTTCTTCTTCTTCTTCTTCTTCTTCTTCTTCTTCTTCTTCTTCTTTTTCTTCTTCTTCTTCAGCATTCCAAGCCCTTAAGGACATGAAAACATGCTTTATATAATTGAATAAACATGGCACATAGATGCACCAACAAAAAAAACAAAAAAACAAAAAAATAAAATTCACATATATTTAAAATAGTATTTCAGTGTTAACAAATGATATGAAAGCTCGCATGCGCGAGACGCTCGTTTGCTGATCCAATGGTTGTGGGTTCAGATCCACATGGTGCTGGATTTTTTTCGAATATGACCTTGGCTCAGAGGTCGACCCAGCCTGAAATGGGTACCAGGTAAAATCCTGGGAAGAAAAGGCGGCTGGCATGCTGTTGACCACATCATATATATTTGCAATAAAGCAGCATATTTTTTTTTTTTAAATTGAAACAACTGAAATTTATTGCCATTAACGAAAACAAAATGTAGATAAATGCAACAAAATCAGAAATTTGAATAAAGAAGACACAAACAAAGCTTTGAGCAATTTATTGCCAGGGCTTATTTCGCTGTATCTCGTTGGGTGTATACTACAGTAACAATTACATAAATGAAGCAAATAAGTGAATCCTTTATAACTGAAGTACAAATTTAACAACAATCAAACGCAACTGCTTGTTTTACAAGGACAGCCGCAGTGTCAGAATCATGTCTTTCTGTTTACAAAGTTCAGGGCAGAGGTAACGAATTGCAGCGGCTTCAAGAAATCTTAGCATTCTGCCATTGTCTTTATTCAGATGTACAGGGGGATACATTGCTTTGAAAATCAGAAATTGACTATTTTCTGTCCCCATGTGGTTCTGAGGCCCCACTGTGGGAAAAACAAAAACAGAGCAACTACCTCCCCAACAAGTATGTTGTAAGAGCGACTGGTGGCTTCCTTCAAAGTCGGAGTGCTTCTGCCTGAGAGGCAAGGAACCTACAGTCTGCATGCAGATATGTTAGATCTGTAAAATGGATGTGCATGCAACAGTCAGGTTCTGAAACAAGACTACATCCACAGGTGGCAGTCAGATTGTTCAGTCAAATGGTTCAATCAGGTGGTTTGGTCAAATATTACAAGATAGTTCCCCACTTAGAACTCTGATCTTTTCACACGAAATAGAGTAATCAGTCGCCATTGCTTACAGTAGGTTGATTGTCTAAAGCTATGAATGCAGCCACGTGTGGGGGCACATCAAAGCTGACTCCCAGACTTACATCTTGGTGATGGGAATGACGACACAAAGTATTTGTCAGCTTTAATTTTTGGCTTCTTGATGAAAGACAATTCTCACTGTGGGTTTTGGGTCCCCCATTTTAGAAAGGGCTGGGGAGGTGAAAAAGACCCACTGTCTCTAACAAATGTGATCAGTTAGGAGTTTGCTTAAATTAAATGGGTTGAAAGCCATAGATGTTGCAGTGACGCTGTAAAGCCACAACATAGCATGCCAACCGCTTTTAAAGACAAACACTTAACAATAAAAAGTTTATGTTTATGTTTATTCAATGGATTAGCATCATTGCACATGGGTATAACCCATAAGTTCTCCGTTCTTCTTCTAACTCAAGCCCGAGTCTGAAAAATCTCAGCGCAGTGCACAAACTCTGTTGCACTGGCGAGGATCCTGAAATACTTGGGTAGATTTTTTAACTCCAAATTTTGCCCGGGCATTGTTGTCAGGCTTTTTTTTTTTCAATTTCCAAATACCAAGGGATTTTTTTACGTGCACAACAATACACACGGGCGTCCGGTCCTACCACCTAGAGACCAGGAGAAATTACTAGAAGTCCACATGAAAAATACCAGCCCTCACCGGGACTTGAACCCCGGACGTCTGGCACTCGAGGCGAACATCATGTCTCGAGACTACGCAGCCGCCTCAATAATTAAAAGAAAGGCAAATAATGGATAGAAAGGTAAAAAAGGAATATATATATTTTTTTGTTGTTGTAAAAAATTATTTTTTCTTAACATCAGGATCATGAAAAGAGGGTGAAAGATGCAGACAATGAGCAGATGTCCAGTCTAGTGTGGGTGTGTACTTCAACCCATGATGCCAACCGGGTGTCGGTTATTGATGCTAACAACCCTGCCGACGTGCTGGAAACCTTCAGAGTGTCAGTCTCTCACATTCTTTGTATCGCCAGTATACCAGGTACCCTTTTTTCATAAACATTTCCGGTCCTAGATAGCATTGAATTCATTAGTGTCTGTGCTAAAATTTTTTATCCTAAAGCAACAGTTGTTAAATCTCCTAGAGCTGAAAATGCAGTCTTGGGACAGAAGATGCTAAAAAAAAAAATAATTGAAAAATAATGGATTAAATAAGACAAGAATGGGATAAGGAAAGTACAGAAATGTGTACCATATTTAGTGAAACCAGTGAAAAGATAGTGGGTTCCTTGTTATTGAAAGATTTAACAAACGAAAAAACTGTATTTTTAAAGGGCTGCAAATTGAGCATGCAGGTGCATCTTGCATTCAGCCCTTCCAGGCGCTCATCTTCCACACATTTTATACATAAATTATGTTATGTTCATAGCAAAATACCCAATATTAGAATATTAGAGAGAAACAACACAGACATACTACATATACTCATTGGACCCCCCCCCCCCCCACCCACACACACATGCACACACACCCAACCACCCAGCCACACGCACGCACACACACACACACAGACAGAGAGAGACAGACAGATATAGATATATATATATATATATATATATATATATATAAACAATCATCCTTGTGTGGATTTCGGGGGCCCCTAGGGTAAGAAAAGAACAGTCCCTCTGTCCTTTTAGTAAGCCTGTTAAAACAGGAAACTAATTAGAGTTGTTTCTTTTACAGTCGGAGTGCATTTGCCTGTGAGACGAGGAACTAACAGTCTGCATACAAATAAGCCAGATCTGTAAAATGAATGTAATGCAAAACTCAATTCTAGGACAGGACCAAAGTCAAGAAGTGGACAAACAACCAAAACTTTCCGCCGGAGCCTACCGGCAGCGAACAGGAAAAAGAAGACACATAAACAACCTTTAAAGAATACATTAGATGGTTTCACACTCAACATGATGATGATAACTCTCAGCACCTGCTGCAGGTTCCCTGCTGGTGCCTCAGAGTTAGGGGCAGAGTTGACTGAGGACTGGCCTGGAGTGGTGCCTCAGAGTTGACAGAGGACTGGCCTGGAGCGGTGCCTCATAGTTGGAACAGAGTTGACTGAGGACTGGCCTGGAGTGGTGCCTTAGAGTTGGGGCAGAGTTGACTGAGGACTGACCTGGAGTGGTGCCTCAGAGTAGGGGCAGAGTTGACTGAGGACTGGCCTGGAGTGGTGCCTTAGAGTTGGGGCAGAGTTGACTGAGGACTGGCCTGGAGTGGTGCCTCAGAGTTGACAGAGGACTGGCCTGGAGTGGTGCCTCAGAGTTGACAGAGGACTGGCCTGGAGTGGTGCCTCAGAGTTGACAGAGGACTGGCCTGGAGCGGTGCCTCATAGTTGGGACAGAGTTGACTGAGGACTGGCCTGGAGTGGTGCCTCAGAGTTGGGACAGAGTTGACTGAGGACTGGCCTGGAGTGGTGCCTCAGAGTAGGGGCAGAGTTGACTGAGGACTGGCCTGGAGTGGTGCCTCAGAGTTGGGGCAGAGTTGACTGAGGACTGGCCTGGAGTGGTGCCTCAGAGTTGACTGAGGACTGGCCTGGAGTGGTGCCTCAGAGTTGACTGAGGACTGGCCTGGAGTGGTGCCTCAGAGTTGGGGCAGAGTTGACTGAGGACTGGCCTGGAGTGGTGCCTCAGAGTTGGGGCAGAGTTGACTGAGGACTGGCCTGGAGCGGTGCCTCAGAGTTGGGCAGAGTTGACTGAGGACTGCCTGGAGTGGTGCCTCAGAGTTGGGGCAGAGTTGACTGAGGACTGGCCTGGATTTAAGTGCATGACAAGTAAATATAATAAAATATTTGATATAATAGGAAATATATAAAATATTCAAAAGAACTTCTTTACATGAGTCTGGGATGGGAAGCGGTGCCATTCTTTGTCTTCCCTTTCAATTATTTGAAGAAGCAAAAAAGGGAGGAGGACCTTCAAAGGACGTGAAGCCCCAGTTTCCAGCACCTAATTTGAGCCCAGTCCAACACAATTAGTCTAATGTATCATCAATCGTTGTCACTAATTGATAGTTTCTCAGTATGATGATGGTGTCACTTTGACATAGCGGAAGCAGAACTAGAGGTCGGCTAAGTAAGTGATGGATAGATGGAATATCCGAGGCTGTAATTACCAACATCTCCCTAGCAAATACCAAGGCTTGCACCTGAAAGGCAAAACAGGATAAGAGAAGAATAAGAAGATGGTGTGATTCTTGTACTCATTAAATACAGTCAGTCATTCCATTCAGTCATCGTACTAAATCAGTTCGCATTGGACTTTGCAGACTTAAACACTGATTTAAATTAGGTATGAGCCAAACGGGTCCCGACCAGTGTCTTCCTGCTAAACAGATCCCAAAATCTGTCTTACTAGATTGTCCTCACCCAGAGGAGCATGAGACAACACCCACTACCCAGTAGACCTGACAACCAAGCTTGGGGAGGGCGGGGGGGGGGGGGGGGGGGGGGGGGGGGGACCTATGAGACATTTCAGTTTATAGCCACTAGTGGCTATTTAAGATCACTGAAGAAGAAGAATCAGTCAACACACACAAAATCCTAGTCTTCCCCTTGCTGGATGCAATTTTTCGTTATTTGAAGCCCGACCCTGGCTTTTGCCGGGGGGGCCCTAAATATAGCTGGGCCACAATTGTGCCCATAACAGCTGAAAAGGGTTTCTGGAACCTCTCCATGGGTGTTCCTCATCCGCATGGTGGCACTGTGTGTCACCGGGTGTTTATCACTTGTGTGATATCCTGGTGGGGTACAACAAGCAGTCAACACACATGTAACTGCACATTTCATTTCCAGGTGCTATGGAGAGTGATTACCCCGTTGCGGAAGAGATACTAAATGCTGAAGCCCCCATCCTCCCAAAGGAGACGGTGGTGGCTGCTGGATCCAGTCCTGGCAGTTCGGGAGATTCCACTGGTCTAGGGGGTGTCACATTTGTTCAATGTGCTACAGGAGGAACTAGCCCTGCTACTGGATCCCCTGTTGGATCTTTGAGTGAGATTAGATGTAAGTACTTCATGGTACTTCTTGTACAGCCCATTTTGAATTGAACTGTTATTCAAATCTATGTGGAAACCCCATTAAAAAGTTTAATTTCATTAACCTTCTTAGAAATCCTATTTTACCTTTGTATTTTATTAGTTCTCTTGCAAATTTCATTTTAAGTAAATATTTTATTATTATTATTATTATTTTTTTTGCAAGGGGCATTTTGAATCATTTTTTTAAACTTCTTGAAAATTCTATTCCAGATTAGTATGTTTAACCCTTTTAGCACGGGAAGTTTTTCAGAGGTCTAGCCAAAAACACGGAGCATTTTTTCAGTGAATTTGGTTATTACTTTATTTAATTTTTTTGACAGATTTCTGTTATTCTGACCCCTATGAAATAATATATCTATTTGAAGGATATAGATTGAAGTTCGTGATTTTCACAATATCGTTAAAATTAATTGATGTATATGCAAATTATCTCATTTGCATATCTAAAAATAGAAAATATGAATTTGAATTTTCAACTTCAATGCTTGAAACATAAAACTAAAAACTAAATTTTTTTTTGTTTGAAATCTTTTTATTGATCTTTGGCCTTTTTACAAATGTTGTAAGCAATTCAATAGTCAAAAACATGTATATATATGTGAAACAGCAATAATATCTTTAGGTGACATGTGTTTTTCACCATCAGTCAGCACTATAAATGGATGTGCCGGAGTGTCAACACCTTCGGGTGGATATACCCTGAGCCATGGTTGGGCTGTGGTCTGAACACAACAGCGTCCCCATCTGATTTCCACTATAACTACTAACACTAAATCCTGCATCAGTATCAACAGAATTAGTGTCAACACTTGATTCAAATGTTTTATCAACATCAAGTTTAGGGGCAGAAACATACGAGTCAGACATACTTTTAGCAGTTCAGGTCACTATCTAAAAAATTCAACAACAATTTTCACTTCGATATCAAACACTCGAAAGTCGCCATGTGTAAAGCTGATACCGCAGTTAATATAAATGAATCACTTTCAGTGTTTCAAAGTAGGAGATTTCTTAGCGGTTCGAGGCGAAACACGATCGGGCCGATCATCGGCCGTTCCGTGTTTTTGGCAAGACATCCGCCGGCCGATAATCGGCCCGTCCGTGCTAAGAGGGTTAAAGTGTTCTTGCAAACCCTTTTATAGATTGGAACATTATTTAGTCCTTTTATAGTCTGTTTTTCATATTGATATATTTTTTAAGTGTTTCATACAGATCCCATTTTTTAAACGTATACAGTAGTCATTTATAGACTTCATTTCAAATTCGCCTACATGTTTCTGATGTGATCGTTTAGATCTTCTAGTGTTGATCTTAAATTAGCTGTTAAATTTTATGTTCCTCAGTTATATATTGAAGAAAATTTTTGTGTTAAACCTTGTCTTTTTAATAAATTCTAATGGTTGAACCGTTCAAAACAGAATTATAATATCTTGCTTTGTATTATTTTATTCACTTTAACAAATGTTAATCAGATAATCCTGCAGTGGTGGCGGTTTATTTGCTTCTGAATATACATTCTAACACATACATCGTTTTTTGTAGCTGTTTAAATTGAATTAGTTACATATGGAGGGAAAAAGGAAGAATGTGGGGTAAGGAAGAGAGGTTGATTGCTTGGTTGTGAATGAAGTAAAGCAGGCCAGCTTAGTAAAGTAAACAGTAAAGGTCCTTAACCACACCAGCAGACCAGGCATGTTAGGCTGGACTCAGATCGACACGCAGTGGGCAGTGTGGTCAACATCACGTTGGTTGCCTTTACTTGCTAGAACTTCACTTGATACCCATTGAAGGCTGGTCGACATCTCAGCCAAAATCGTGTTTGAAAGAAATCCAGTTTCATGTGGATTTGAGCCCGCAACCATCAGGTTCGCAGATGAGCATCTGGCAGCTCCACAGTGGCTCCCCCCAGTGGCTCCCCATGGTCAGCTTAGTGACAGAATAAATATTGCAGAAAGCCTTTGGGGGGGGGGGGGGGGTTTCAGCCTTGATGCGGATTAGAACCTAAAACCTTTGGGCTGGCAGCTAAGCGTCTAGCCACTATGTTTCCATGGCTGTCCCTGGCGAGGTATGCAAAGGTGAAAGGTCAGTTTCTGTACAGGAAAAAGCACTTATAGGCTGAAAAAAAATAGGCAAGAGTGTGGGAAAATGTGAATTACAGAGAGGTTGAAAGAATAAGATTTTTTTATTTGAAAGTTGAAAGAAACTGTGTTGGACATTGAGGCCCCACTGCTGAAAAATTTGGCAGCTTTCCATATTGTAGAGATAAGAATTTGAATGAAGTGTAAGATCAGTGTGGAGCGGCTGGTTAAATGGTTAAGAACGCTGGGCTCTAGTTCAAAGACTCCACTGCCTAGGCCCAAAAAGTGGTAAATACAGGCAGTAGTTGGCATTTTTTGGCAGTAAGATCAGTTAGCTAGTTGATAGGTAATCCTGATTCCTCATCAAACCATTCAATCCATAAGTGCTCAGCTCCTCTCCTCAAAAAATCCAGCAGCGTGTAGTAGCTGATAACACCATTTCTGTATTTTTTTCTTTTTTCTTTTTTTTCTTTTTGTTTGTTTCCTGCAAAGTGCTGTTGTCCTGCCTCACCCCTTTTCCCTTGCTGTTCTTGTGGTCTTATCATAGTTGCCGATTCAATCATCACTTGATTCTCAAAAACATCTTACTTCTGGTAGAGCGTTCACTACATCAGCCAGGCCCATTGCTCATCCCATCTCTACATTAGCCTTACCCGCAAGCCTATCAGCTTGTTCATTTCCCTTTACCCCTACAGGGCCAGATGTATACTTGATGAGGCCCTTAATACATAGAGCCCTGAAGCCCCTACCATTTTAAATTACAGCAGCTTATCTCAGATAACTTTCAGATATGTATGCCTTTTAAATTATGAATAACGGAAATACATTGTTATTTAATTTATAGTATTCTAAGAGAAAGAGTCAATAATGGGTTTGCATAATCACATAAATTATATTAGGTAATCTTCTGAAAGATGAACACAGACGTAATCCTCTAAAAGGCTGTATTTAAAAAAAAAATTTGCATTTAAAATACATTTGCGTTTGTTGATTAGAAAAAAAAATTTGTTTAAGTCCTTGTAGATTGTGAGGCCCTCGGCTGCAGCCAAGTTAGGTTATGCCTGAACCCAGCACTGCCTGCATGCCCTGGCATCAAAATTAATCTTTGTCCACCCCAGGTGGGGTTAGTATGCTATTGTACATTGTTTTTTAAAATCACTACTTTGTATCCTGTTTTTTTTTTTTTTTTAATGGTGGTGGCTTATTCTTTAGTTCTTTGCATTTTTTTTTTTTGTATCGCTTTTCTCCATCATAGCTGAAGACATCAGCATCAGAGTGGAGGACAGCGATAGCATCCAGGAGAGGGATGGAGGTGGTGGTGAAGGGAAGGGAGAGGATGGGGAAGGTAAGAGAGCATGGGTAGAAGAAGTGTGGCTTTCTGTATATCGTTTATATTTATATATCAGCTTCATTACATAATCTTAGAATAACAAACTCAAGGATGGTTTTGTACACATGCACGAACTCCGTAGCTCTGGTGCTGAGATGGGTCAGTAATTTACCAGGTGAGAAGCTCTTGGGTTTTTACAGCTCAGGCTGCAGTTAGAATTGTGAAGCAAGATTCTGGTGCTGTTGCCTTGACCCCAAGTAGTCTGACTATGGAGGTCATGGCAGTCATCAAAGCAATAACATGGCTGAAGAGACAGACCGTTTCCCGTACATGCTTTTTCACCAACTCAATGAGTATGCTCAGGAAGGTAAAGGCTGGATCCGTAGGCAGTGGGTGGTCTCTAAAGCGGTCCGGGCTTAGACATATTCGTTTTATATTTGTGCCAAGGCACGCAGGCGTGCAAGGAAATGAGCAGGTAAAGATACTGTGGAGGGTGGACGAGCCAGGGACCATGCTGATATTATGAATGAACTGCGAGAAGTAAGACTTTTGCGAGAACCAGGTGATGACTGTGAATCTGCAACAATGACCAGTCTGCAAGAACAACATGTTAGAAGGGGTGGGGCCAGACAAGAGCACTATGCAGGAAGCCAGAGAAGAATAAAAAACCAACACATAAGTGGTGTCGTGTCGTGAGCCGCTACAGGCTGCGGGGTTTACTGAGGTTGGGATCCGAGCACTTATGGACTGAATGGTTCGATGTGTAATGAGGATTATCTGTCCACTAGCTAACTAACTAACTGACTGGCTGGCTGGCTGGCTGGCTGGCTGGCTGGCTGACTGACTGACTGACTGACTGACTGACTGACTGACTAGCTGGCTGGCTGGCTGGTTAGCTAACTAGCTAACTAACTAACTAACTAACTGACTAACTGACTGACTGACTGACTGGCTGGCTGGCTAGCTAACTGACTGACTGACTGACTGACTGACTGACTGACTGACTGACTGCCTGACTGCCTGACTGACTGACTGACTGACTACCTGGCTGGTTAGCTAACTAGCTAACTAACTAACTAACTAACTAACTAACTAACTAACTAACTGACTGACTGACTGACTGACTGACTGACTGACTGGCTGGCTGGCTGGCTGGCTGGCTAACTAACTGACTGACTGACTACCTGGCTGGCTGGCTGGTTAGCTAGCTAACTAACTAACTAACTAACTAACTAACTAACTAACTAACTAACTAACTAACTAACTAACTAACTAACTAACTAACTAACTAACTAACTAACTAACTGGCTGGCTGGCTGACTGACTGACTGACTGACTGACTGACTGACTGACTGACTGGCTAGCTGGCTGGCTGGCTGGTTAGCTAACTAGCTAACTAACTAACTAACTAACTAACTAACTGACTGACTGACTGACTGACTGACTGACTGGCTGGCTGGCTGGCTGGCTAGCTAACTGACTGACTGACTGACTGACTGACTGACTGACTGACTGACTACCTGGCTGGCTGGCTGGTTAGCTAGC